GTAAAGCGACCAAAACGCTGACTTGCATCCATAGATGCTTCTCAAGCAAATCCCAGGACGTCATTCTCCCCTTGTACTCGGCCTTGGTGAGGCCGCAGCTGGAGTACTACATCCAGTTTTGGGCCCCACAATTCAAAATGGATGTGGAGAAGCTTGAGAGAGTCCAGAGAAGAGCCACGCGCATGATCAGAGGTTAGGAAAACAGACCTTACGACGACAGGCTGAGATCTATGAGGCTCTTTAGCCTGGAAAAGCGCAGGCTCAGGGGTGATCTGATGGCCATCTATAAGTTTATCAGGGGTGACCACCAGTATCTGGGGGAACATTTGTTCACCAGAGTGCCCCAAGGGATGACAAGGTTGAACGGTTATAAACTACTGCAAGACTGTTTCAGGCTGGACATAAGGAAGAATTTCTTTACTGTCCAAGACCCCAAGGTCTGGAATAGCCTGCCATTGGAGGTGGTTCAAGCACCTACATTGAACACCTTCAAGAGTAAATTGGGTGCTTATCTTACTGGGATCCTATGACCCCAGCTGACTTCCTGCCCTTTGGACATGGGGCTAGACTCGATGATCTTCCAAGGTCCCTTCCAGCCCTAATGTCTATGAAATCTATGTGAATATGGAATGCCATGTGTCCTGGTAAGTCTCCAAAGTATTGTGGTATTAGCCTTTTTAAACTAACTGTTGACAAGGGGTACTACAAGTGTACACGCTGTAAAGTCACCAACATTATGATGCTTATTAAGTATGCACTTTATGAAACCTCTGTTTCCATAAAAAGCAAAACAGAACTGAACAGGCAGTATGCTAACATGTTAAGTAGCACTTCCCTTTCCACATCATTTTAATAACAATAGGTGGACCTAAATTCTTTAGCTTTTACTTCCCACTCTGCAATGAGCCACTGAGACTCCCAATTTCATAACGGTTAGCAGAAGCCTACACCCCAGTAGACAGGAGAGGCTTTTATTGCAGAAGACAGGAATATTTCACAGAATGAAAATCATCTTTAAAGCTTTTTATGCTCTGTGCCAAACAGCTCCTCGGTAAATGTCACTAGTTACAAATGATTCATTGCTCAATGTTTTGAATGAGGTTCACAACAGAAGTGGAGAAATAGTTTACCCATGCAAAGGCAGGCCAGATATGTAACTACAGGAATGGCTTTTATTATCATATTATTATTGCATTGACAATCCAAGTAAATTTCTAATATTCATTTCATGTTAACAGCTGAAGATCTGGATTTTTATACTGCACATGGAGGCTGCTAAACTACATTTATCTGCTGAAAAATATATCAGCGATCAGCAGCACACAATCCATCCCTCTGGCTATGAATTCTTTTTAGCTTGGAAACAGCGATGCTCTTACAGAGGCTTCTGTGTTCAAAGCATAGTATACTTCCACGAGAGAAAACCTCCTAAGCTAATATTAATTCTTGCAATCATGACAATCACTGAAAATATCTTGCAAGTCATTTTCTACTGCCTATACCTACATGTCTGTTTAGGTCAGCAAATATTTTCTATATTGTTGTATTTATTTTACTGGAAACCAAAAAGAATTCAGAATTACAATGTTATTCATGTTCCTAGCTTTTAGTATGAGACTTGGTACTCAGTGGGTGCATTTACACAAGACGCTTTACTGTGCATTAGAGTAATCAGAAAGCATCACTGTCTACACATGCATGGGACTTATTGCACAGTAAATTAGGCTAATATGTGATTTGCTAGTACAGTGAAATACAGGTACTAGATTAACTGTGCATTAGCTACTGTGCACTAGTGCACATGTATGCACCAGGGGGCCACAGAGGGTGGGAGCTGTCCACAGCTCCAGTGCAGAGCTTGGGATCACAACCTAGCCCAGCATTGCTGGCTTGGGCTGATGCCCTGTGGCTGAGCGATGGCAACACCCTGAGCTCTCTCCTTCTCCCCTCACTTCGCTTGCTGAGGGGATGGGGGAGCTCTCTGTCCCCACAGTGCTGGGCTGGGGACAGAGAGCTTCTTCATTCCCACAGCCCTGATGCTGCTCATGCAGTGCATGCCTCAGTTGGCTTCCGCTCCCCACCTGTGCCTGGGGGGAGCTGGGGGCTGAACAGAGCTGGAACCAGGGGGAGCTGCAGGGGGAAGAAGCAGTGCTGGGATGTGTGGAGCCACAGGGCACAAGGGGTAAGCAGTGGCGGGACCCGGTACAGACCCTCTCTGTGTCCCAGAGCCCAGGGCTGACCCGAGTTCCCCCTGCCAGCCTGGGGCTGGTGCCTGGAAGTCCACCTGCCTGCAGCAGTGGGGGAGAGCAGGGCAGGAGCAGCCCTGGACTCTACCGCTCCAGTTGGGAGCAAATTTGTTCCTGACGTAGGTGCACATGTAGACATGTTTCCAGGCACAGTTTATCGTGCCTTATTTTAATGTGCAGTAACCTTAGGGCACATTAATTGCACATGTAGATGCACCCAACGTAGCTTTCAAAAGGCCCTATCAACTACAAGTCCTATCCACTCTCACTGCTGGAATACAGTTAAATCCAAAGCCGGTACCTAAGTACCACCAAATGATTAATGAAGATTTAATGATGCAGCAAAATGACAACTGTTGACTGTACCAACACTGATACACTAGCATTTTATATCTTGATCCTCCAAACATACATGCAAGCAAATAATCCCATTGGATTTAATGGTATGACACATGTGAGCAATGTTACTCAAGTGTAGGTGATTACGGGAACAGACCTTTGAGAAGAGTCCTATGTTGCATATTTCAGCCAGACACCAATATAAATAAAAATATGTTTTTTTAAATACTGAGGAGGCCTACTTTGTATTATGACAGTTTGCTGCATCCCTTAGGCAGGAAGAATTCACATACCTCTTTTATAAACTGAAGATAATACAGGCCATGAAAAATCTCTGCAGGAAAATTATTAAACAGATATACTTTCCCAGTATCACCAGTATCTTATTCTGCAAAGAGAAGGATCATACTGATAGACACCATACTTGGCAATGGTTTGCATACAAGGTAACATTCACTCCTGCACAGGAGAGCCTCATCACTCAGAAATATTGAGTCCTTGTACTGAGCATTCCCACAATGAAGTGAGCTTTTCCAGTTGGAAAATGGCACCTTCCATCTCAGACTTTCTTGGTTTAAAATAATCAGCTGCTTATGGAAGTTATGATTTTAGCATATGGATAATATTTTAAAAATTCATATTTTAAAGCTTTCCTCACTACTTTTCCATGCTATTTGGTTTTAAATATAAATGCACTACCAAAGCCCCAAGCAGCTGCAGACTTCAACTACGTTGCCAGATGAGTGACTGCAGCATTAGTTCAAGTGCCCACTTTCCATGAGGTTGTTAAAAGTTTTATAATCCTGCAGGGTAGAGAAAGCTATAGTGTATTTATATTCATTTAAAAATTGGAGAATTCTTTAAAAAATGTAGGTTAAACATTTTAAAAAAATCATTTTCATGGGCTTACAAAAATGAGATGTGGGCGAGGGATGATAAAGCTAAGTGATTTTGAACTGTGCAATCAGAAAGATTTAGACACATGGCCAGACTAGCATTGACTTATCAAGCTGCTCTAGCTAAAATGATAACTTCTGTATCTTATTTGTTTCATGATTATATTTTGCTAGCCTATATAAAAGACTGGAGAAATGGACAAAGTGTATACTATACCATGCATGCTAAAATGATATACAATTTGCAGTCACAGATAACCTGCATTTTCCAACAGTAATCACATGCTAGAAATAACTTAACTTGATTACCTCAGATTTATGCTGGGCTCAATTCTATAAGATACTGTGTTCTTTCATCTTCTTTTGTGGGAATTAGGAGAATTTGCTACCTCACAAATACAGATTGTTTGTATCTCAGTGATTTAGGGATATACCATTATGCTTTGTTCCTTGCTTAATTTAGAAATGATTCACAAAGCACTGAAGCCTGACAATGAAGCTATCTTGACACCACAGGTGGGTTGAGTAAAGGTTGTGCATACAGCAGTCTTCCTTCAACTTTGATATTTCTTATGTGCAAAGGAAAGAGCTTCAGCAGGGATGTGAGCCTGGTACATGGTGTCAGGAAGATTCAACTAGACTTTCTGCCCATTTAATCCCTCCAGAGCCAAAATCAGAGAGCATAAATCTTGGTTTAGTGACATGATTGCTTTATTCTAAATTACAAATGTACTGGAGACTGCAATGGTTCTAAAAAATCAGACTGCCATATACTAACTCACAAACAGAACAATCTCCCCACCCACCACCAAATACAAAATCATATACAGTATATTCCCTTATACGTTTAACATAAAACTACTTCAGCTATTGGCTGCTGCTATCCCAGAACTAAAGTTAAGGAGTTTTTAATTCATTTGTTATATTATTTATATTCAAGTTTGGTTTTGGCAATAACCAGTTGATTACATCTCTAATCAAAACTGTGAAATACTCCTGATCAGTGTATACATAGTAGCAAAGAGGCACATTTTTCACCTGGGACAGCAGAACAAAATGATGTCTTCATTTTTTATTAATCCACGGAGAATTAAGGCAAAAGAAACATATATTATTTTAAAGGCCAGTTTTATGCATTGGGTAGCATGAATCCTAAAGAAACCATGAGCTCTTCTCTCCAGAACATATCCGGCTATGGCAGCTTGGCTGGGTTTTTCTAGAGCATTCACTTGCGAGGTTGGTGGATGTGCTGATTGACATGTTGTGGGTTAGGCAGCTTTTCCACAGAGGGATGTGGTTTTTGATGAGCCACCTGGGCTGCAGCTGGAGGGAAGTCTTTATCACCCTGTTTAAAGAACACAGCAGTACAAGTAACAATTGTTAAAAGTGTGCTTGCTAGTCAAAATGGATGAAAAGCATCACTGTGAGTCACTGATTCAACAGTCCTCAGCCTTCACTGGCCCCTGGGCAATATCACTGAGCAGGTATCACTTGGTCGGCCCCACTATATTTTCCTCTCCTTGTCAACCTCAGTTTTATTTTAACCTCAAACTCACTTTTAATAAGCAGCACCTAAGATTCATGTGATTGGAGAGAGAGAGAAGAAACACGTTGTCTTTATTTTTTTTAACTTGCTTGATTTCAGCATTTGCCAGTACTGTGTTAAGTCAGTTTCAGTGAGTCAGTGTGGTCACGTTTGCTGTTTGTGGGGATTTTTAACATGTCAGCAAGAGGGTGGAACATTTTAAAAACAGGATAAGGTAATTTGTAAAACCACAAAAACAAACAGATTCCTCAGGTGGAAAAGTAGTTGCAACTAAAGTTTTAAGCCTGGATAGATTTCAGTGCCCTTCAAATAGGCAACAGTCCTTATTTGTGCCATCTTCACCCAAGATAAGTACTACCAGACAACCAGTTACAATACCACAGTTTTATCATTGCTATTTTCCCAGCAAGGAGGTGAGCAGCTGCTTATGCCTGTTGTTGGTGGTAACTTTTAAAAAAATCAGTGGAAAATGATTAGTATGATCTAATGTATGAGAGAATACAATTCCCCTGTCTGAGAACCTATTGATCCAGAGAGTGACAATGTTCCATGCGGTCATTTTGTACAAAGCAGAAATCCAGCACACCTGTCATTTCTCCTCTATGCCACCCTCTCCCTGCTTTTCCTTTAATTCTTGACAATGTTTTCTTTGCCCTTTCAGTGTCCATATTTTTATTAGATTGTTTCTTCTGTACTTTTTTTTGCCTTTACATTTGTTCATTTAATTTCTCTTCCCACTAAATCCTCTTTTTCATAGAAATTTTCTCTCCTCTCTGTCTTGTCAGTCATTTTTAACATGCTCCTCCACAACATACACCACCTTTTCCTTTCACATACTTGAGAAAGTACAGTGGATGAACGTCTTGCCATTACACTATGGGTCTTTCCACATTGGTTGAGGCCTGTGCTAAGGGACACCTTATATGCTACCCCCTGAAATAGATGTAATGTAGCTGCCCTTGGTTGGAGATGCACTAATGGCTACTAAACCAAAAACACTGGAGAGAACAGTTTGGACAGAGCAGGCCTCCATTCTGGTGCACCTACTTTACTAAGAGCCCAGAATGGTTGCAGATTGTCCATCCCTGCTCTACTTCATTGCAGTGATCACTAATGCAGTGCTTGGGGGATGCAGACATGCCCTTTAGAAGACTGATAACTGTTTCCGAAGGTGACAGAGTTGAGTCCTTGGACATCATTTGGAAATGTTTCTCTGCTATAAAGAGAATCACTAGGAGTCAGGCTGTAAGCTCTGGGTGCCAATATGACTGAGTTCAAAGAATCACTGTTTTGTTGGGGGAGGGGGAAGGATTTTTGCTAAATATTCCAGATAAGTACACCTATAGTAGATAATTCTACACTGTATAGCTCCTTCCCAAGCAGACCACTGGTTGCAAACAGGCTGCAGATAACCCCAGGCACCTATCAAGCAGTGGAATGTTTTCTAGAGTGTGGTACAGGCTAAATGACGGAAGTCACGAGGTAACCAAAAAAAAGGGTTTCTTTCTACCTTCTCCAAACCTAGCCCTTGTAGACTTCCAAAGTTCCTTGTTTTTATGCTCAGCCAAAGGAAGGGTGTTATATTTGTAAATGTCATCATACTAGAGAGGCAAAGCAGGATCAGAATCACTGAACTGTGTTTTTGGTTATTAATAACTCAAGGTTTATATTTACTTTATCCTCATAACAGCACAGTACTGCTGAGCTTTATGTGCATGAAAGGAACCAGCCACATTCAGTGTTCATTTGCTCACTGGCTACTCTAGCTCAAGGGCTGGAGCCCCTTCTTGGCACTCACGGGGTGTGGTGTAGCCACAAGATCTACTGCAGATCCATTAGGCCATGGATAGCTAGCAGTCTTGTAGAAGACACTCCTATGGTCACAAACTCCATGGTACCATTTCGCTGTGTGGCAGGGCACTGTGGGTGCCTGCCATTTTAAGGGCCAACCCAAGCAGCCAAAAGTTGCTTAACTGTGGCAGCCATTTTAGATCTATGGCTGCCTATATAAACAGGGCAGTTTCCTGCTGGCAGCTGAGGCAGTAACATTGCCTGGCTGCATGGAATATTCTGGAGGTAAGAGCAGGAGATGGTTTGGAGGCTCATACCATCAGAGCAGGGTAGGCCAGGTAAGCTTCTGGAGGCACCTGAGCCTGCTGGGGGAGTGCCAGCAGGAAACTGCCCTGTTTATGTAGACTTCCAGGAGCACCTGAGCTGGGACTAGGGGACCCAGACCCATAAGTTCAGGCAGGAGGTGAAAATTCAACAAGTGAGCACTGAAGATCAAGCAGATAGTGTGTCTATGTCAAACATAATGTGACATTGACTTAAAAGATTTATTGACACTCATTTAGTATTAGCGTTTAACCAACACTTGGTTTCATTTCACCTCATCAACTGATGGTAATACTATTAGCACGTGCTTGAACAAGATATTTTGCCTATGTAGAAAGGATATGGAAAATTCTGTAGATGGAAGATTACCCAGTGAACTAGCATCAGTCATTCACAACCTGAAAACTCATTACCAAACTCTCATGCATCATCATGATCTTTTAAACTATTCATTGTTTGTTGTAATGATTGTAATTTTAGAAACAAATTATACAAAAGTTGGATTAAAAACATGCCTGGGTATGAATTATTCTTCTTAGATTCATAGCTGGTTAATGTTAATGACCTAATATATTTGTATTCAGGCCTTACCCGCTATTATAATGATGGGAAACAATTAAAAATATATTTATCATTTATTGAGCACCACCAGCCATTGCTCCAGGGTGCTCACAGACTACTACAAAACAGAGAGGGGAAAAAAAGCTGACACATTGAAAAATAAGGTTGTGAAACTCTTATGAGTATTAGCAGCACTTATTCAAACAAGTAATCCCGCTGATATACATGGGAACCTGGGTGAACGGGCACTCAAACATGAGACAGGGTCCACAATCTAGGCCCATACATGTTCACAGGAACTGTTAATGTTAAGGGAGGCAACAGTACTTCCCAACTTTAGTTGTTCAGGATTCTTGTTACCAGATTTACCAGTGCATCTTTCAACAACAGAATTTTAATGAGGGGTTTATGCCTAAAATGCAGTAAGAGTGAAAATGTTTTCACCATATGATACTTGCATGATCAGATCTTTCTACTGTGTACCTCCAGATGGGTGCCTACACCTTTTATGGGCACCCATTAATGGCAACAAGGATTTATGTAGGCTGAAGGATCCATCTGTATGGATCTAGTTCCAAGAACTGGGAATAATGGATGCAGTGACATAAAGGATATGGAAAAATAATCCGATGAATCTCAACATTTCTAATTTCAAAATAAAACAGTACCAATTATTTCAATGAACAGCTTCACACAAACCTAAACAAGAAGAGTTAAGGAGTCTTGACTATTAATATAAAATTCTTTCAAATCAAAATGAATGAAGGATAGGGAGGGAAAATGGTGACCAAAATTAAAAACCTTGCCTAAATAACAATGCTTTGTCAAGACAGCTTTGAAATAACTGAAAAGATTTTAGAGTGTAATCTCACCCTTGCAATGACACCAGAGATGAACACCGTTGGTTTAGGTGGGCTGAAAAATAAGAAAGATAATTTTGTTATTCATCTTCAGGCAATCTGAGAAGCAAAAACAGAATTTTATCATTCTACTGTAGGAAAACTGCAGGCATGCTTGGCAATTAATGCATGCTTCAAACAGAAGGGAGCAAAAATTTTCCTTTCAGCCTTTCCTTGCTACACTAATTAGCCAATTAGAACCAAGGACACTGATGAAGCTGTATTTTTTGGCTGCTCTATCTTCAGCTTAAATGACGGGAAGAAGCAGAAGACTATTCCAACAGTACTGTGTGGAGCAGTGGTCTGTCTTTGTTTGTATTGGGTTGCTAATCCTCAAACCACATACAAAAGCTGCCAGCAGTATTTTTAGGCTTAGTGTATTTGTGCTGCAAAAGGTGCTGTAACTAAGTAGTTAGACTTACCTGGCTGCTGTGATGGAGAATAGAGACAATTTCCAAGTTTAAACTTGTCAGTCAAAAGGATTAAGATTCTGAGTCTCCGAAAATCAATACCTTCCTTTGTACCCATTTGTAATACTACCACTCCAAACAGATGGAGACAGAATCATGTCCATTGCAAACAGAATGCTGCATTCTAAGCTGAAAATGTTGCCCTCGTTTTGCTAAGTGAAAACTCCTGTCCATTTTGAATAAAAGTTGATCCCAGGGCTGAACCTGTATCTGACACTGCAGTAAAAAAACAAAAACTGAAACCTTCTCACCAGTGCAAGCCCTGGTTCAGTGAAATTAGGGTAGAAGCCCGACAGCAGTAAAGGCCTCTACAGCCAGACTTATTATTATCGTTAAGTCACTTCATCCCCTCTTAGCACATATATTAGTTACGGTATCTAGCAGCATCTTGACACGTGTTCCAGGGGCCATGGAGGGGTGATTTAATTAGAGTGGCTCTCGGAGCCACTCTAATTAAAGAGCCCACAGAATCTCCTGTTTGACGAACTTTAGTTAACCGCCCCTGCCATTTTGAAGTGCTAGGACGCTGAATATATGAGACACAGAAGCTCCTGGAGCACACCAATTAAAATGCTCCAGCAGATTCGATTAATCGAGTCTGTTCCAACGCACTGTAATTATAACTGTTCCTAAAGACCTCTGCAACATGCAATCCAATGAAAGGGGGGAAAAAAGGGATAGTTCACTTTCAAGAATCAGCCAGGTGATCCATCACAAAAACATTACTTGGTTCATTCTTATACAGCACTTTACAACCACAGCTCTTTGCTAACATTAACCAATCCTCCAATTTGTTTAAAATAGTATTTGTATTTGATGTTCAACGGGAACAAATTAAATAACTGTTCAACCATAAATTAAATCATTGTCTTATGGGCTAGGGACAGACATTCAAAAAGCCTGAGCCTGAATCGATTCAATCTTTGCAGGTTAGTCTAACCTGGCTAGGCTAAATCACTTTGTAACGGCACAGACATCCTAGAAATGCAGGCACATGCCTGCAGTGGCTCAGGCTAGAAGCTGGGGGGCGCTAGAACAGCCCTCCTTTCCTTCCACAGCACTGTGCGGAGGGGGGGCCTGGCCAGGCCCCAGCAGGATGCTCTGATTAGCCCAGCAGGGAAATGATAACAGTGTTTATCATCCCTAACTCAGTGTTTATCACCATATTAAGAAAACAACAGGTGGACATTACCATCTATCTGTTGATTCTGCCTGTTGACTCTACCTGTTGATTCAGTACGGACCGTAGCTCGCATGTGGTCTGCTAGCTAATACACAAACACCTCTCCGCAAGTTAGAGGGGAGGGGGGAATTCCTGCTTAGCAGGGAGCGGTGGTGGTGGTGGGGGCATGACAGCATCCTGCAGTCTCTGGAGCTGCAGCTAGGGAGCAGAGGGGTGGGGCCAGCCCTGCTGTGGAGCAGAGAGCCCCAGCTAGCCCAGAGAGCATGCTGGGGGAATCTGGTTTATCTTAAACCAGCAAGTGGTCTGGGACAGACATTGCATAAACTGGTTTGAGCCAAATCAGTTAAGTCTGATACTACATTCAACCAGCTTTATCTCAAACCAGTTTCAGCCATTTTCAAACTGGTTTACATGCACTGAACATCTGTTCTGTTAGAGATTTAAACCAGTTTCTGATCGAGTTTATGTGTAATGTCTGTCCCTAGCCATAGGGGGTTTTTTTCTTTTACTGTGTAGCATCTGATCAATCTGTGTCCATAAAACAGGAGAAACCATGCTTTCATTAAAAAATGAGAGCATGGGAGACACTTTAAAAGAGAGCAATAGAAAGAAGAAAACATAACAACAGTGGATTGGAAGGAGTTCTAATTCCTCCTGGGCGATCAAGTCCAGTTCCCTGAGTTCATAGGCAATTGTTTACCAAATTATCATTTCAAACCCTCACCCACAATTTCCAGAAACAATATGTGAAAACGTGACACAGGTAACAGCAGGGGATATGAGGGCACTGTCAATCACTTGCAACAACCACAGGAAAGTAGTTAGTTAATATATGATCAACAGATCCTAGGAAAAGAATATAAGAAAAACAACTGGTAAGAGACTTCATTTAAAAATATTAGTATTACTTTCCGTACTAAGGACGACTACTTTAATCAGTGCATCAACACTTCTTCTCATTTAATACTAATTCACAATAGCTAAGTATCTCTAGCAAACATCTGCATTTTATGCTAGTTAGGCTTGGACAGGAAGAAGGGTACTTTACTCTAATGTCTGGAGTAAAACAGACAAAGAATCATAAACAACAAAACCAAACAAAAATAATGAAACCCAGCACAGTTCTGCTGTATGAAACCTGGCATGAATCTTCAGGACAGCAATAGAAGATTCTACTTGCAAACTTTAGGAAAGAACTCTCATTAACACTTAAGGGACACAGTAAAGCAAATGAATAGTAAACAAAGAAAAATAAATTGCAAACGAAACTTTAATAATACATGAAACTGAGTTTTAATCATACTCGCAGGAACACGAGTTATTTGTTTGCCATGGCATTTTAAAAAACAGTTTCATAATGGCAAATCTGAATCAGATGGATTTTCTCTTCTACTCTCCCCATGACCTTTCAGTGTGCACTGGGCTCTGATGATGCATGAAATTCAAATATAAACCAGCATTTCCTGAAAAGAGCTTCTGTGTGCTGGGCCTGCCATGCTTTGTCAACCTGCCACCATATGCCATTATGTGTGCCGTGCTTCCTGCTGCTTAAAAAAATGCAACCAGAAAGCCCACAATTGTAGCCAGAAGCAAAATTTCCGTTTAAACAAAGGGAACATTTGGCCTCATGACTGTTTTTAAATACCAGTCACTGAAAAGACTGATCAGGAACTCTGGTTTTGTGTGTCCTAATGCTACACCATTAATATTCAACAAGCCTGATTCAGCAAGGGGCCAGGCTCCTTGAAATCCCAATGAAGCTTAGCACATGAAGTTTGCATTACTTTCTAGGACTGGGCCCTAATTTTTCATTTGAGTATACTGGGTTTTTTTGTTCTTGTCAAAGATACTTTTGCTGAAGATCCTGTCAGATTTTAAAATCAGCTTCCTAGCCAATGAAGTTCGTAAGTACACTGAGACAGTCATTTCAGAACTAACTAATATGCATATATATGAGAGAGATTAAACAAAATTTAGGAACTCCAGCTTTCTGGTGAAAGATCCTCAGGTTTCATTCATCCTTCCTGAATTCCAGTAATGACTACTACCAGCTCTGCTCACAAGCTATGTTGCTGGCCCTAGTTGCGCCGTCCTATACTAGGGGTTAATTACAGAAAGTCCTAATGCTCACTGTAGTACAGATGGCTATATTTAAGAATCTGGTGGAACTACTAAAACAAATGAAATACCTCCTAATAGTAAACCAGAATTATTTCAACATTTGTATTTATAGTAATGACATGCATGTTGTCCTGTATGACAGAAGCCACTTGACTTGTCAAATCAACAGTAAATGGCCAAGATGTTCTAGTCCACTCAAGCTCCACTTGGTGTCAGACTATGCATGGGGGAAGCAACAGAAGCATTATATTACCTATGGCCATGTCCACATGAGTATGGACATTTGCTTCCCTGGGAACAAGCAGCAGTGCACCTTTTGCTGGTGCTACTTGTCTCCAGGGAACACCTGTGTCATGTGCCATCTGGCATGCAGCAGGTTACCCCAAGTGGGGTAGGGGAGGCTGTGGCTGGCACTGGGCTGGCCCCAGCAGCCTTACCTGGGGTCCTGGGGGCCTCCTGGTCAAGGTTCTCTCTAAGGTGCACGTGTGTGCAGGTGTGCACAACTAAATGTGTGGCCGCGCACAGCCTTTTCAAGGCCGCGCACCAGGCTTGAACCGGGGGCTGGCGTGGGCTCTGCCAGCTCCGGGGAAGTGCTCCGCTCCCCCGCATCAGGGCCGGGGAGTGAAGCAGTTCCCCGGAGCCGGCGGAGCCCGCGCCAGCCCCCTGCCCCAGCCTCCATCCCTGCCTTGCCTCACCTCAGGGAGGAGCTGCTGCCTGCCCCGAGTGAGGCTCTGCTGGCTCCGGGATACTGCTCCGCTCCCCCACATGGCCTTGGGGGGCCTGTCCCACAGTGATGCGGGGGAGCAGAGTGCTTCCCTGGAGCCAGTGGAGCCAGTGCCAGCCTCAGCTCTGGCCCCCAGCCTTCAGCCCCCTTCGATAAGTGTCCCATGCCGGACTGAGGCGGCGCGCTCACGGACTGCTACTCCTTAGAAGGAACGTTGTTCCTGGTGTTGCAGCAGAAGTGATCCTTCCACTTGGAGCCTGGCCGGTAGCTGGAGAGTGGCTCCAGCCATCCAGGTGGCACCCACTGCCCCCACATGCTCTGCTCTGCTTTTTTTTTGCATGGGTTTTTTGAACCCAGAATCTCCTGGGTCAACCCCTCTCCCGGGAGCTACCTTGCAGCATGGAGAACAGCTGAATGTGTGGTATGTGGCACCACAGATGTATCTGTGATGTCACATATCACATGGCAGCGCTTGTCTGAACGCAGCCTATGTGAGTATCTCTTCACTACAGAGAACC